CGAAAAATATGTGAGAAGATGCAGAATTTTCCGGTAAATCTTCTGATGTTTTCAAAATTCTTATGAAATCTGTTTTTGGATCAAGACAAATATTTTTCTATTTTCAGTGTGTCGTAGTTAGGCAACTCAGCACTCTTCAATATTATGAATAGTGCACAAACGACGAAACTGTTATCAGAGGTTCAAATAGCAAATTTTGTAGAGATTTCAATTCTCTATCGATTGAGCTTAGAACCAACTCTATGGACTACCGGACAATGCCTCATGAACAACGAATGAAAGTGTCCGATTTTATCTGGGCCACCCGATATAATATTCGTGCTATTTCTATCTATTGATTCTAGGTTTGGCATCGTATGCTCAAGAACGGATATGGCTCGATCAACAAATCCGTTTTGATAGCAAGAAAGAACTAGCAATATATAACATTCCACTTTTAATCCAAGTGACAAGCGCTACTCTGTCAATGAATCGTCTACGTCGAGCCTTATCAATAATAATGGAAAAACATTCGATACTGAGAACATCACTCAAGTATGATCGAGAAGAACGATGTTTAAAACAACAGATTCAGCCGTTAGTCGAAGAGTCTCCAAATTATTCATTTCAGTTCAGTAAAATTTCGACAAAGGATGAACTAGAGAAAATATTACTTGACGAAGAAACAAATTGTGATTTGTTCTGTTTATCGAAGGGACTCGTGTTTCGATGCCATTTAATCCATTTCTATTTTACTTCCGACAGGATTAACAATGATAATGCAGATAATGGTGATCTGCTGAAAAAAGGTGATCTGATTTTATTAAATTTTCATCATGTTGCATTTGACGGTAGTTCTGCCGAATTTTTCCTGTCAGAATTGCATAAAGCATACGTAAACGAGAGACTAGAGCGAGCCACTTTGCAATATATAGATTATGCTCAGTACGAACGAGAAATGCCAATGGACAAAGCGAGAGAATACTGGAAACAGTCGCTCGACGGTTACGAGGATCCATTACAGTTGCCTTACGACCATACACTATCACTATCAACTGTAAGGTCTGGCAGCGGTGGATCAATAAGATTTGAGTTGGACAAGGATATTGTTGAATCAATTTTGAACATTTCAACCACAACCAGTGCTACATTGTTCCAATTGCTTCTGACGAACTATTATTTATTCCTGTTTAAGTTAACAAAACGTACAGACTTGTGTGTTGGCTCGGTGAATGCAAATCGTTTTCGTTCCGAGCTGCAATCGTTAGTTGGAACTACAACATTCATATAATACGTCAACAGCTCTTTTCCTTTTGTTGGTCGAAAAAAAAGACGCGAAACAACACAGTTTTTTGGAAAATGAGCTTCCTCAATTGTTGAACAATGCACATGTTTGTGAATCTCCTTCCCTATCGATTTCAATTAAATCCACATCAAACATTCTTAAAGACAGTCGCGAATATTAAACAACTTTGCTTTGATATTCTACAAAATTCTATGTTACCATACCAAGAAATAATCAGAATGCATCTTAATACAAACAACTACACTTCAGCTTTACCGTTTATGGGAGCAATGTTCCAGTACGAATCTTCCTCGACATTGAACGGTGTTAACGACGAAACTAAACAACAGTTATATTTCGACAATGGGGCTCTTTTATGTAACTTCAAATCACCATTATCAGCTGTTAGATCCAACAGTGACGACAACAGTAGTTTTAACAGAATGAATGTATCCAAATTTGATTTAACCATAAGAATCAAATATGAAAATCTAAAGGAGCAGAAACGAATGAAATGCTCGCTCGATTATTCTCGGGATCTATTCGAAGAATCGACAGTCGCAAAAATGGCTGAACAGTTCCAGGTTCTACTCAAACAATTGTTCTTTGCTTCACCTACGGTGTTCGATCTTGCGCGACAACCTATTTATGAATTATCGATTTTATTGCCAGAAGAGTTAAAACTAATTCAGAATATGAACAACACTTATATTGATTTTACTACTAGTGAAGAACAAATGAAATGTATTCATCAGCAATTCACTGAGACAGCTAACAAGAATCCACAAAAGTTGGCTGTCATTCTCGATGAACAATCATTAACATATGCTGAACTTCTTGTCTATGTACAACATCTGTCACTTTCTCTAATGAATGATCATCATGTTGTGCCCGGATCAATCATTTGTCAGTGCGTCGAACGATCGATCGAAATGGTAATTGGTATATTATCTATTTTGACCTGTGGTGCTGTATATTGTCCACTATCGCCAAATGATCCTGAACAGCGTCTTCAATCACTGATTCAGGAGACTCACTCTCGTTTAGTAATCATTCATACATTAACAAGAGACAAGTTTGTTACCTCTAATGTAGCGCAGTTCCTCCATGTTGACTTTATAATAGGCTCAATGAGTCAGACGACATTAGACGAGAATGATTTGGATGTATTGTCAAATGTGCAAGTGACTGTGGAAGATGTTTCTTATGTGATATTTACATCGGGATCAACTGGACGTCCAAAAGCGGTAAATGTGAATTGCTTCTTCTTCACTTGATCAATCGTCGAATTGTTTTTTAGGTTCAAATTTGTCACCGAAACGTTGTCTCTTGTTTACAGTCTTTAGTGAAACTAGGTGTGATGAACGTAAATGATACAGTTCTCCAGAATTGCCCCGTATCATTTGACATTCATGTTCAAGAAATATTTGGTGCACTGTTCTTCGGCGCAACTTTGATTCTACTTCGACCGGGCGGTCACTTAGAAACGACGTATTTGTCCACCATCATTGAACAGAAATGTATAACGTATTCTATTTTTGTACCAACAGTTATTGAAACATTGATTGAATATTTGTCACTACGTCGACGATTCGATTCCATGAAAACGTTGCGTACAGTTTGTTCAATAGGTAAACGTTCAGACAGCAAAAACGAAGACGAAATGGAAGGCTAATCGGCGTATCTAGGCTATGATAGGGTTCAATGCATATTTTACTTCACCGTGCCGTTGCCTTTTGTCGCTATCTGTTTTTCTAAAATCCTTTCTACAAGACGAAAGAGTTTTTATCAGCTAAGCTGTACGCAGCAGGATACAATATCATTCCTTTCACAAAAGAGCGAAAACTAATCCGAAATGTTCGAAATTTCCAACTGATAATTCGTCTGAACTGGTCTGTTAGTTAAACGATCAGAATCTTACGATCATCTTATATTCTGATAGCGTCGAAGCTCAGCTTTTAGATTTAATTCGACATGATGGATAAGAAAAAACTCGTTTCGAGAAGTATAAGGGAGAAAAGGTGATATGTTCGATATTTTTCCAAAAGTGAGCAGTTTTCATTGAATTTCAGTCTTTCCAAATGTTCTCGTATAAAGAAACTTTCAAAAAACAAAACTCACATTTTTTCATAGCAGGTTTTATTTTTTATTTATTTATCCATGGTTGGATAGCGCTCCGATGACCTTTCTACATAATTTTTTACCAAGCAATCACGTTTTTCGTGAAACGTGGACCAATAATGGATGATTTATTGAGAAATGCTCCCCCTCTATTGGGCAAAATCGACCAGCTTTTATGAAAAGTGTGATATCCGTAGAAGGAAGTAAAACCTTCAAAAGCAAAGTGGGTACTTTTGTAGTACATGTAATCATTATACGAATGACATACAAAACTTGGTCAGCTCATCGAGTGCTATCCAGCCATAAGTAAATATATGAAAATAAAACCTGCTCTAACATTTTGCTTTGTTGGCAATTTAACTCGATGAGCCAGTCGTATATAAACGAAGCATAAAACTTATGATCAAGTTTTGAGTTATCGGCGCCTTTTATGTACTATAAGAGTTGAAAATATCTTTGTATAAATTTGTGAATGTGTGCATCACAAATCAGATAAGAGTATTATTCAGACTAAACCTGAACTCACTGCGTTTTAGTGCAACATCATTAATCATCCCTTTCGAAGCATTCAGTATGCTGGCAGAACTTTTCCAGATATCACTCTTTTATTCACTTTTTGTTTCTCATTGGCCTTTCTAGGAGAATCGCTAACACGAGCAACCGTGTCAAAGCTCATTTATCATCTAAAATCAAACTGCCTAGTCTATAATTTGTATGGTCCGGCTGAGACAACACTCGTATCAACCTACTATCTTGTTACTTCCGAAGATTCGAGAACTATGCAATCGATTCCGATAGGACGACCTATGCCAAATTATCAATGCTACGTTCTCGATGAATATTTGCAATTAGTTGGCATTAATCAGCTAGGTAAGCTGTATATCGGCGGTGCTGGTGTATTCTCCGGTTACTATGGTCGTGATGACTTGTCAAAGAAGGCTTTAATTGATATACGAGGACAACGATGTTACAAAACAGGAGATCTCGCTAGACTCGATCA